AAACTGTAATAATCAATTCTAATGACAACACAGATCACATTGACTTTAAAAGTCCAACAATAATTAACGACTTGTCTGATCTTTACACGTTTTGTCGAACACAAATAAACACACGTTTTCTCAGTACGCTGCTCTACACTGGCCTTCGTCACTTAGGACACACGTGGAGAGAAACAGATGATTTTCTACAAGCTATTGGAGGTATGACATGTAAAACAAGCCACAAATGGGCAGATATTTTAGTTCATAATGATTTTGATGAATTCACAAAGGATGAACGAGGTAATTTTTGCAGACAGAGGCAGAGATAAATCTGGAGATCACCTGCAAAGCGTTTTTTTTGTTTTTTACACTCATTTTTGCAGGAGGATTTTGACGACAAAAGTCAAAAACATACATTTCAGTGTTACGATGATGACGGTGTTAGTAAAGGGCTACTGCAGTTAGCACACGATTTACATATTTTTACTCCAAACAAAGTCAAACTTCCCGAACTGAAAGCTCTGCTTGCTGAACATCCAGCATTCAAAAATGTAAGGTCCAGAAATTTTTCTTTTGACATTTTCAAGAAATTAAAATTTTTTTATGACATTTTTGCAGGTCAGCAAACTTGAAAAATTAGCAACAGAGTATGGGGTCAAAATTATTTTTGGGCCGAAATATCATTGCGAGACAAATCCAATTGAAGGCTATTGGTGTCATTCAAAACAGTTTATTAGAAAACACACAGATTAATCTTTCACAAGATTAAATGAATTACTGCCTCTTTCAAAAGATCATTTTATAGAAAAACAAATACATCTCTAATTATTCCGACGGTTTTGGCGTACAATCGAGGCCTACCGAGAAGGAAAAGACTACAGAGAAGTTTTGACCATGTTTTTTTCTAGTATGTCCAAAGATAATATTATCGGACACCGAAAAATCACAAACACAAACCCTGATCATTAGAAACAGTATTTTTTATTTTTATAGGGTTTTTTGTATAGTTTTTCACTTAGTATTGCAAAGATCAGATATTTTTTGATGTGTTTTAGGATAGAACTATTTTTTTTATGAATTTTTCAAACTCATCAGTAAAATAAAGTTAGATAAAAGTACAAATAATAATTAAAGCTTTTTCATAGCAAAGAACTTGCCTAAAACCCTCCAGTGACCCTCCAAAGTGCCTCTAGAAATCTCGAAAGTATTTTTATCGGATTCTGCATTGATTTTAACCTATTCTACACTATCTTGATATTTTTTGAATCAAAAACAAATTTTTTATTAGCGAACGACCTGAAGGATTGCGGGTCTAAAAAATGTAGGCTCTATATCTCAGCACAGGAAAAAGGTTTTTTCAAAAAACATCACCCAGCTCTGCACGACCTTTCTTTGCAAAGTTATAGAATTTATAAGAAAAGCCCTAAATTATTTTCTTCTTATTTCTGTAGCTTTGAGCTGACAATGAAGGTTTAGGGCTTTTTGTGTAAATTCTATAACTTTCCAAAGAAAGGTCGTGCAGAGCTGGGAGATGTCTCATTTTAATCAGAAATTTGCGGGCTACAACTATAACTCCTTAAGAATAGATTTTGGTTATTTTTTAGAGTTTCTGAAAAACTGGTTTTCCATAAAGTCGGGTCTTCCAGAGTTATGCACCCGAATCCTTTTAGGGTATTTATTATCTCACTGAGATCTATCGATCCATGTACAAATCATTGAAATTGGAAGGGGACACCTCGGGAGGTTCCCTCGTAATCTGCGTATTGTTGTTGTAAAGTGCGCTCCAAGCACGCAAAAGTATTGAAGGTTATCCTAGTTCGTTTTCTGTCTCCTATTACGATACCGTGTTTAAGGCTTTTTAATTCTACGAAACGTTTTTTGTTTTCAATTTTTGTACTACATCACGTGAAATTTTCAGATGCTTTAGATAAAAAGACCTGTTCTGTGTTTGTTTCTGTTCTGTCCAGTGTAGTACGATAAGACTGTGTAAGAAAGGAAAGAAAAAAAGATCTTTTTATACAGACAAATTCGCCCTTGTCATTTTTAAACTTTTGAATATCGAGTTGCAACAGATCACACAATGAAAACAGTGCTTGATTTATACAATCTGCAGGATGATGTTTTATTATTAAATAACGACGAATTTTTCAATTTTGTTAGACAAGTTTGTGGTGATGTCGAAGCTGACATACTAAAAGTACAAGGTATACACAATGTTCTTTGTTTGCTACATACACCAAATGTATTATCAGTATTAGATCTTGATTGTAATGAAGTCGACGACATAAAACAAAATGCATGTTTTAAGCTAAATAATGGTGAATTTGTTATTAAATAAGGTGTAAAAGGGAATTTAGAAGATCTTGCTGGTGCGTTAAAAACAAAAAATGATACATATAAAAAACGATTACAAGTCCAACGAGAGCTGTTGCCACCGTCAACAATAAATGGAAACAATAATATTAGTAAAATAACATCATTGACGACAACACCTTCGATAACAATGGTGACATCAAAATGTCTAACAGTGAATGATCATATAACATTTATTAAGGAATATATTGAAAAACATTCAAGAAAAATTTTTGATTCGATGATACTTAAAGAGGGCAAGCACTATCGCTTAACAGTTACTCTGTCGGATAATACATTTGAAGCCAGAATTAAATGTCAGTGTGACGGTACATTGAATTTGCCTTTACGTGTTGATAAAACCACGTTTATTTTATCTAATTATTATAAACATCTTGGAGATACAAATTGTTCAATGGTCAAACGGATAATGAGAGACGAAAAAAAGGTTGTTGATAATACATCTAATAATATAACGCCATCATTATCACCACCATCGATAACAACAGCTTCGCCTAATAGTGATAATACCAAAACAACGACAAGAGCCAAACGAAAACGCGAGCATACTTGTTTGTCAACACCTTCACCACCATCTTCAGCTGTAAAAAGATCGAAGAGACAACGAAAATAAAGAAAAAACATAAAAAGGACCCAGTAGTGAAGGTTTTTACTGATACCCAAGACAGTCAGTTAATATTGAGATTGTTTTGATTTTTCGTTTCAAAAACAGTGTTTTTTTCTTGCAAAGGTTCATTTGAAACATATTAATTCTAATTGATATATTGTTAATTTTGGTACCAACATTTTTAGAGGAGAAAGAGGACGTTTTCTGGTGTCCTCGATTTTCTCTCTCCTCTAAAATGTCTGTTTGTTTTTTACTTGTTTACAGAAAATTTGAGCAAAAAGAATAATCGTGATAAGTGTTGTACAAGTCATAAATAAATCCTTCGGTGACAAATAAATTCGTGTGACATAAAGGTACTCAAGAATTGTTTTCTAGCAAAAACTGAGTCTTTTTAACCAATGTGAGCGATTCAAAGCATTTGGCGATGCTTGTGATCTTATTAGTTATCTAAGTAGTTGTTGTAACGATAAAGTTTATTGTATTATTTCACATCCATTAGACTCATGCGTTGTGCAAACTACGTATAGTAAATCCATGATACACATGATTTATGCCGTACAGACGAGACTCAATTTTGACTATAACACATGGAAACTCAGAAAACTCTTGAAGTTGTCCGGTACACTGGTAAAATCCGCTATTATGATATTTGTTCTCTTTCCATTGGATGAATCAACAAACCTTGATGTTTAAAAGTTAATGCAGGCACTAATGCAACTTAAATTTACGTAGAAAGAAAATATCTTAGTAGTACAGGTACAGTAGTTCAGCGTGAACAACTCACTTGTGTATCTTTTCTGTTTTCGTTTCAATGCTCTATCTATCATCTTTCCCTGAGTTAGCTATTGGCACCGATTAAGATCCCACCAAAACTTATCGTATCGGGATCAGATTTTCTATCACAACCACTTTCTTTACATCCTATCTCAGAGATATTTTTCTTGCATGTTTTCGAAAGTGTTCCAGTTTCATACTTTCAAAAAAGAGAAAAACTTTCATTGAGATAGGATGTAAAGTGCCAGCGATAGAAAATTTGATACCGATACGACAAGGATCTTATGTTAAAGAAGTTTTTCTCTTTTCCCAAAGTATGAAACTTGAACACTTTTGAAAAAATGCAAGAAAAATATCTCTGAGATAGAATATAAAGTGCCTGTGGTACAACATTCCAGGGAAAGATGATAGATAGGGAATTAAATATGTTTGAAGTCCCATACATTAATTAGTATAGAAAAAATGCAGTAAGATCAATTTATTGAGTTGAGCGACTCAAAATGGCACCCTGTTTTCTACCGAGATCTTTCAGAGCCCGGATAGCTCAGTCGGTAGAGCGTGTGGCTTTTAACCACAAGGTCCAGGGTTCGAGCCCCTGTTCGGGCGGTGTCTTTTTTGCTCTTTCTTGTTTTGGAGAAAGAACGAAGGAGTTATTGTGCAAGAGGAGTATATGTATGTACCGTCAAACATAAAATTAACCGAGCTCATTTCTCTCATTTTAAAGCCAGTTAAACACACCGAGCTCAAATATCACTTTTTTCCGAGCTCATTTATTATTTTATCCGTAAACAATATAAATTTGCATCTCTCTTGAGACGTAGTTCAATAAACTACTTTGGTTAACATTTTCATTGCTTCCCTTCTCTCTTTTTATATTGTTAATAAATCCCATCAGATGTTATTAAACTCTCTGATAAGGAGTGAAATAACTGTATCGGCGAGCCGACACAGTGTGAATTTTCACATGGCAGACGAACATGTGACTTTTTTGGATAGAAAGAATTTTTTTCACTTCGAAAGTAGCATTTAGTATTCACCATTTATTGTTTAAACAAAGAAACATACACAGCCTCCGGACGCTTCAGTCTGTAGACAAACGCTTGCTTTAGAATTCCAGACATTCCACTACACGTGCTTTTGTTAAAAAAACATGGCAAAATCTCAAAATTTCGTCATGGAATTTCATTCCGATAGCAGAGTTATCTGGTAGTGCCGTTCGAGAATCACTTGTGAGCGAAAAAAGCTAAAATCTTTGTGGAGATTCTTGCCTAGATCTTTTTAGAAAACTCATTGTTTAGAGAATGTCTCCCTCTTGCTTGGATTAATTCATTTAGTATGATTTTGCAAGACTGAAATAAAAGAAAATCACCGGCTTTGATCTTAGTTAGTGTTGTTGACCCGATGACTCATCGTTTTACTGTCATTTTTTATACAGCGCCCTCTCTCAACTTTCCTACATACGTTTGGCTCTAGGTTTTTTACAGATAACTAATTTGTGAAACGTAGACGTTTTGCGCTACTTTTAGCTTATAAAATGCCGTTAAATTTTTTAGGTCCAAGAAACGTTATTATTGAGTCTACAGAATGCCATAATGGCTACGATAAACTATAGAAATGATGTCTTTTTTTTGTCTCTTGCGTGTTTCTCTCGTTTTACCGTGCGAGCAGAATTGAAAATAAAGTTTTTAACAATGAAATTTTTGTCTTTTTCATCGGCCTTTGTTTTTAATCTTGCGTTAATATAACGGTA